TTGATCAAGGAAATGGCTCGAAACAAAAAGAGTTAAATGCAGCTTGTCAGCACTTGGATTACTTTTCCTCATCCCTTTTGGAGAAAAGGAAGATCCCTAGCGCAAGTGAATCCTGAATCTGAGCAGTGCCTTAAAATTTTCCAATAAAACTGCATCAAAATGTTGCTACAGTGCAACTGTGCCACCTGCTGCAGATTTGCTGCTTTACACAAGGCAGCAGAGCAGCAACAAACATTTCTTGCGCTAGTGAACTTATGAAAGAGCTATAAAGTCGGCAATGGTCAAGGTTATAAAAACACCAACTAACACATCACTGGAATTTTTCTTTCACTTGTTTTAACAATCACATTCATATAGAAAAGGCTGTGTGGCCTGTGCATCTCATTTACAGCATCATCAATATAATAAAACACATGCTTTTGCTAACAAAATGCATCACCAACCTAGATTAGGACAAATGACCGAAAGTTTGGTCAGAGATAGAGTTTAAGGAGCATCTTAAAAAGGTGAGAGTAGCTTATGAAGTGGCTTCCAGACTTGGTACTCCAGCAGCTGAAAGCAAGGCAATTAAAATCAGGAGGTAGCAAGGGGCAGAAGATCAAAGGCTGTAGAGATGAAGGAGATTATAGGGATAGGAGGGGTGGGACCAGAGAAGGATTGAGCGATAAGCATTTCAAAATAAAGATGACGCTTGACCAGGAACACAGTGGAAACAGTTAGTGAGACAAGGCACAAGCAGCATTCAGCATCAACAGAGGGAGAATGTCAGACTAGCCACAAAATTAGAACATTAAAGACTTGGGTTTTTTTTTAAAAAAAAAGACTTGAAGTGACAATGGCATGAAAAAGGGGGTTCACCAGATGAGCTGAGCTGAGCGAGGGGCAAACACAGAATCTTCGAGAGATGGAAATAGGCAGGTCTTAGTGGTGGCACAAATACAAGATCAGAAGATCAAACTCAGGGTTAAATATGACACCAAGGGTGGGTACAGACTGGGTTAATTCCAAGCTATTCTTGTAAGTCTTGGAACAAAGACTGAAACCGTAAATAAAACAAATTATATATAAAGTAACATATATAATGGGCATGGTGGAGTCATGGTTATATCAGTGGACTAGTAATCCTGAACCTCAGGCTAATGTTCTGGAGACATGCATTTGAATCCCACGATGGCAGATGATAAAACTTGCATTCAATAAAAATTCTGGAATAAAGAGCTGGTGCAATGGTGACCATGTAACCACTTTCAGTTATCGTGAAAACCCATCTGGACCTTTAGGGAAGGACATCTGCTGTCATTACCATAGTCTGACCTATGTGCAGACCCACAGCAATGTGGTTGACTCATTATATCCTCTGGACAATAAAGTTAGCCTGGCCAATGATGACTATATCCCAAGAATGAATAAAATTGAGCTTATGTTTGTGTATTTTTAAAAAGTTAGAAACAGTGTCCCTAACTCAAATATTATAGGTTTACCTTTTCCATGCCTTTAAAAAGCTTGTATATCTGTCCAAAATTTGACACTTCCATTCCAAAAAAAGAAATGAGATGCTCAAGTCAAAGGAAGTGTTTGTTCCTTGTTGACAACTCAGCGCTACCTAGCAAGAAATGTGCCATGCTGTGAAAAGCATGAGATGGAGTGAGATTCTCCCAGCGTCAGGATGGGCCTCACCAGATATTTCATCAGATTCTAGCTCAAATCCTACAATATTCCATGTCACTGAGACCCCTAGAACATTCTGCCCATTACTGCTTGTGGGATTCTGCTCTGCTTTAAATGCAAGTCCTGCTTTAGGACTGTGATTACACAACTAATTTTTTTTGCTTTGGTAAATACAAGTCAAGCCACTTGATGGAAATCAGCATCATTTTCTCAACAACATTGCCAATGCTCCTAATAAGAAATTGCCATAATTCATGCTCAATTAATCACCAGTAAAACACAGGACCAGTAATGGTCACGAGTCTGTTGAGTCCACCCACACTGACACTACAGTCGAGGTAGTACAACAATGCCTCTACATTTTCAGGAAGCAATGGAAATTCGGCATGTCCATAAAGACACTTACCAATTTTTGTAGAAACACCACAAAAGGCATTCTATCTAGATGCATTACAGCTTTGTATGGCAGCTGCTTTGCCCAGGACCATAAGAAATTAGAGAGTTGTGAACACAGCCCAGTACATCACACAAGCCAGCCAACATAATCAGAGGACCCTCTCACCTCAGTTATAATCTCTTCCATTGGGCAGAAGATACAAAAGTTTAAACACACATACCAACAGATTTGAGAGCAGCTCATTTTAATTTAATGTTGATCTCGCTCTTTGTGCGCCTTCTCTGCAGCTGGAACATTGTATCCTTTGCTCTGTTCTATTGTGCTGATACACTTTGTATGGCATGATCTGCCTGTACTGCACACAAAACAAAACTTTTCATTGTACCTAGGTATATGTGACAATAATAAATCAAATCAAAAAGTTTTGGAATCCAATAAAAACCAAGTGAAAAAAGGTATTGAAGTTTGTTGCATATATTTTGGCAGAGTTCAGTAAGAGCAGAATACGAATGTGAATGTGTGCTTCTGTTTGTCATATCAATGTGTGTTGACAATTCTTGTCAAGGCAAAAAGGTACTGAAATAAAATAAACATAATAAATGGTGATCTACCTATAAAAGTGCCAAGTGACACTGGTTGAACAAACTGCGTACTCAAAAGTCTTAAACGATCCTTCTTGTGCAAACAGCAAACCTTGTGTGATAAAATAAACAAGAGCAAAATGAAGAAGAGTGCAAGAATTGACTGGAGTGAGGTGAAAGTTCCCCAAAATAGAAAATTTAAACTTGCTTGGCTGGCAGCAAATCAAACCAAAAGAAACGAGGGCTTCTTTCACTGATGGACCATTCATGAATCTGTATGATCCTGGGAATGGGAAGGGGAAGTTAAGCAGGAAGATTTTGGACACTGTTTTAAATTCACAAATGCTTTAGTGGGAAGTGAGAAAGAGAAAAGGTCATCTTATTATTCTTCAAGATTTGAATAGATCTTGGATCCACAATTTTTTTGGGGGTATTCATTTTATTTCACGTACAATACTGTCTTTGCATGGTACAGTGTCAGAATGTAGAATTGGATCTTCAGATATGTCGGTCTTTTTAAACCTCCGCTCCAAAGAAAAGTTGGCATACAACCGTGGTCGAGATTTACTGCTACTGAAGGAATTTTTAAAAATTCAGTCACGGAACATGGACATCGCTGGCTGACCAGCTTTTTATTGCCGGTCTCTAGTTGCCCTTGAGGTGGTCACGGTGAGCTGCCTTCTTGAACCACAGCAATCCACATACTGTCAGGTTGATCCACAATACCCTTAGGGAGGGAATTCCAGAATTTTGACCTAGCAACAGCGAACAAACAGCGACATATTTCCAAATCAGGAGTGAGTGGCTTGGAGGGGAATTTGCAGGTGGTAGTGTTCCCACGTATCGGTTGCCCTTAAAAACCGAAAGAACTGCAGATGCTGTAAATCAGAAACAAAAACAAAATGCTGGAAAAGCTCAGCAGGTCCAGCAGCATCTGTGAAGAAAAAAAATCAGAGTCAACGTTTCAAGTCCTGTGACCCTTCCTCAGAACTCAGTTCTGGTGGAGGAAGTGAATGCGGTGCCAATCAAGCTGGGTGTGATCCATCACACTCCTGACTTGTGGACTTATATACGGTGGACAGGCTTGGGAAGTCAGGAATGAGATACTCACCACGGTATTCCTAACCTCTGACCTGCTCTCGTAGTCACTATTTTAATGTGGTGCATCCAGTTGAGTCTCTGATCAATGGTAACTTTCAGGATGTTGATTGTGGGGATAATGATAACAATATTGAATGTCATGTACGGTGATCAGATTGTCTCTTATTGGAACTGGTCATTGCCTGGCATTTGTGTGGCACAAATGTTGTTACTTGTCAGCCCAAATCTGGACATTGCCCAGATCTAGTTGCATTTGAACATGGACTGCTTCAGTGTTGGAGAAGTTGTGAATGGTGCTGAACATTGTTTGCCAATGATTGCATAATCCCATTTCTGACCTGATGGATGGAAAGTCATCAATAAAGCAGCTGAAGTTGCTTTGGCTTAGGACACTACCCTGAGGAACTATTGCAGAGATGTCCTGGAGCCGAGATAACCGACCTTCAACAACCACAACCATCTTTTTATGTGCCAGGTATGACTCCAACCAGCAGAGAGTTTGTCCCCTGATACCCATTGACTCCAGTTTTGCTAGGGCTACACACACACACACACACACACACACACACACACACGAGGCCTTGATGTCAAAGGCTGTCACTCTCATCTCACCTTAGCTCATATGATTTGACTGCACCTTTAGCACAGTAATAAAATTTCAGTTTGCCCTCACCATACGCGAGGGTCTTCTAGGTCATGTAGTATGCCAGACAAGTTGTGCCAATGCTACAGTTATGCTTGGCCTCTCCACCTCCTCCCAATAAAAGATGCAGACTGCAGTTCAACAAGTACTTGGTGATCCATCTTAGCCATTTTCTGACTGAGCAATAACTAGCTGCCCTTGACCAGTTCCCTTTTGCTACTTAAAGGCACCTGGAACAGCCAGTAGAATAATCTGTAGTTAGTTGAAAATAGGTAAAAGCCAAGAAGAACTCAGGAATATGTACATGGTGAACAGGATGAGTGGAGTTATTAACATCACGGGGCTTTGCAATGAGCAGAAACAAGCCCAACTCACTTCAAGTAGACAAATAGATTATATAAAACATACATTAAACATTAGGTATTGAAATACCCAATGTTACTTTAGCAGAAGGCAATTGGATAGGTTTGTATTCTTTTGGAACTGAAGCAGTAAAGGTATTGTATAAACAAATATATAAAATAAAAAGTTGGCTTCTTAAACTTGCTGCTGCAGAAATTGTGGTTTTAACCACATTTGTATTTTCATGTATTCAGACCAAGAGGAAATGTAGTGTCGCACATGCACTTTTAATATTTTCACAAAGCAAAAGAAAAACTATTAAAATAGATCTTCAAATGCTGAATTCAACAGCAGATATTTTCTATTCTTCCCATATTGGTGAAGAGAGAGACCCACACAAAACATCACGTTATAGTGTATCAACAATTTAATCAAAATTGACTATTTATAGTTTAGACACTGAATAGCTAACGTAAATAAAATATTCAGATTATTTCCAACAAAAACATGTTAAGCAAAAGTCTATTAGGTCAAACTGTTTACAATGTACAGTTAATGAAATTATTGGCTATTGAAAAGCTTATGGTATGAGAAATAGAAGATGTTGCCGTGATGCTGACATGCATATACACACAAAAAAACGGTTCATTCTAAAGTGCATTGTGTCAACTGAACAATAGCAGCAGCTCAAAACACAAGTGATGCCAGGGTTTATCCAGGGTTTGGTGATCAAATGTTGATTGCTTTTTTTAAAAAAAAAAATTACATGTGGCAAGCATTATCCTATTTTCTTTTCTTTAAAAAGACAACAACCAAAAAAGGTCACAAATAGGATGCTGCAATTTAGAAAAATAATTTCCCAAATAGTCTTATGAAAACCACAGCCAATCTGTAAACACAAAAGTTTCTTCTTTCAGTGATACTGGCCATTTGTTTGAACAAAAATCTCAAAACAAAAGGATCATGATTAACCTACATGGGAAAGGTATAAAATTTGTATCCACATGTAAAAATGAGTACAATGCTCATATTGTAAAATACATAATCTGGTGTGCAATGAAAAGGCACCTGAATATCAAATATATACAAATCAAGCCAGCTAAATTTACTACTGTCTCAGTTCAAAATGTTTACAGCATTGATATCACATTCACCCTAATCTTGCATAGTATCATCTACCCTGCAGAAATTCAACAAATGTCCGCTATTGCTCAAGATTATTCTGTTGAAGGAAGTTTGTATACAGTATCTGGCATTTATGGTTTTCTGCGCCTAGAAACAAAAGGGAGAGAAATAACTTAAAAAAGCCATGTGAGTAAAATCAAAAACAAATCAGAGTGATCATGTAATGAGGAAACTATTTGGCCCATCAAATCCATGCTAGCTCTCTGCAGAACAATTCTGTCAATCCCCTGGCTCCACTCAATCCCTGTAGATTCATTTTTCTCAACTGCCCATGCAATTTTGTTTTGAAATCAATAACAGCCTAAGCTTCCCCCAGCCTTGTAGATAGCAAATTCCAGATCATTGGCATATATTGCTCAAAAAAAAAAACAAAACCCTATCCTCATGTCTCTTGCCCAGCCCGGAGTCCCCTAGTCCCTACATCATCAGCTACTGGGAGCAGCTTCTTTACATCTTTGTTTAAAAGTGCCCCATCCATTTTCTCTCTCTCACACCATACCAGAAACCTTCGGCCCACTGTTAGCTGAATTTGCATTGCTACCCAAGTTGACTACATGCAGTAACTATGATTAGCAAGCTAAGTCAAAACCTCTGCAGATAGACCACTCTTTCCAGAGATCCAAACTCAACCTAAAATATGCTGTGGGACATTTTGCAGAGAAGAACTAGAATTCCAAGCACTGGGATAAGTTATTGACCATCTCAAACCAGAGTTGCAACACAATTCAGGACTGCTGACTGTTCTGAGACAAATAAAAGATCATGCAAAATAAACCTAAAGCAGGTTAGAAGACATACTTGGGTTGAGCATGGTGCTGATATCCAGGTCCAAAGTTGCTTCCTGCCTTCATTTCTACAGCAACAGAACACTGAAAAAACAGAGCATCACAAGCTGAAAAGGCAGTATTAATGATCTTTAATATTACAGTTGATAACAAGCCATTGGCATAAGCAGAGGAATTGAGAGATGTTTGAGGAAGCTACCCAGTGCTCGGCTTTAAGCTTCAAAACACTAAGAATACAAGTCATTACCCTTGTCTCCACATCAGTCCATTCCGATTCTGTAGTCTCTTCTTGTTGAGGGGGTGCTGATTGTGAAGATCTGCGTTTTCTAATAAGTGAAGACAAAATTAAAAAGGTGAACATTACTTACAGATTCTCCAAGATCATTGCACTGCTAGAAACATACCATGCCTTTTACAGCTTACAGCTCTCCGGGATCAAAAATGTTGGAGCTCCCAATTTCACTATGCTATATATTACCATCAGGATAGATTATAATGTGACATAACTATTCCTGTGTAGATGATTTGACTACCTAGTTGATTATGTTAATTATCTCATACACCAAGATAACCGAAGTCCTTGCATGACTGATCAAAAGACTAACAAGTAATGGGCTAATATATTTGATGCAACAAAGAAATTTGAAAAAAAAACAAAAGTCAACAGAACCGAAATGTCAGCCTTCCTGTTCCTCTGATGCTGCTTGGCCTGCTGTGTTCATCCAGCTCTACACCTTTTTATCTCAGATTCTCCAGCATCTGCAGTTCCTACTATCTCTGAACAAATATTTATTTTAAAAGAAGAGAGTGGGCTGAAATCATATGCACTGTTAAGAGCCAATAAGGATGAACTTTACTAACTGCAGGTGAAGATGGTAATTTGCGATTGTGAGCATTCATTTTCTTAAAGTTTCAATACAAAGGGTCAGATTCCCAACAGTACAAGAAACCAATTTAACCAATAACTGCAGTAAATTCATTATTTACCAAGTATCACTGTTCTGATTTCTTTGTTAAAATTAATCACCTGCTTCATTTTCAAAACACTAAATAATCAAGGAGCTTCATTGTTTAAAATTCTAAATGATAACGTTTTAAAAAAATGGTCAAAAATGTGCAAAGTACAAGAGTATAATGTTCAGTTTACAACATGCAGTTCTCACTCAAATTACAAATGGGTATACACTGTTTGGAAATTCCAAAGCGTATTGTTTTAACTTCAATGTACTGTATTAAATATATGAGAGATATATTTTAACAAGACATCACTTAACATTAAACTTTCTACCACTCTTCCCATCAGTAAATCTATGCTTGCAAATTCAAGCTAACCTTCCAAAACTGATGATCATAGTTAATTGAAATTGACACACAGTGCCACAATACATACCTTGTACTGCCGGGTGTCTCTTGTTTTAGTTTCTCAATATCTGTGAATTGGACGGCCTGCCCACCACCCCTGGTCTTGTAAACGTCTCCCTTCAAATTAAAACAAAATTCACACTAGACGCCATCATGACAATACAGTAGAACTTTAAGTACCAAGTTTTTTTTAAAGAAAAGGTTATTTGTACCATCTTTAAAATAAAACTGAATTGACAACAAATTGCCATTCTCAAAACTGAAATCATTATCACTTTTACCTAAAACATATTTGAAAATTGTTACTTGAAGTAAAAACTAGAAACATCAAACCTGATAAATAAAATGGTCTAAATCAAGAATTGTGATCTCTTAAGCTTTATTGGTTAACTTGGATTTTGCTGCAATTCTGTTCATTACCTTGATGAGCTTGGTCTCAATCTCCCCATCCGATGCAAGCTCCTGGTGTGTCAAAATGTACTTGTCACACTTAGCCAGAGCTTTTTCATTTGGCACTGCCACTGTGATGGCATTGGGAATGTGTGGCTGTAGGACAGTGTCTGTTTCCACGCTACCAACTGGCTTATGGTCTACCCATCGTTCCCCACCCGCTGAGCGTGACCGTCTGTGGCGTAGGCGAACAGGTGGTGCATTCTAAGCAGATTGAAACAGTAATCAACAGAAATTGTAATCAGAGATTCCTAATTAGAGGATCCCTTCAAAAAAAAAAAAGTACAGATTTGATTGGCAAAACTAATTCAAAAAGGAAAACACATTGGCCTTAACAGGAAGAACAAATTCAACATATATTTGAATTTTAAACCTATGCTTTGCTAGAAAATAACCTGGCAAGACCAGAAATGCAAAGCTGCATTTATAATAGATTAGTTAAAGCAGATTTTTTGCATTGTTTTCGGATTTATTTTGGAAATTGCAAATAGTACAGTAAATCATCAACCTAAATGAGTCACTGAATTTAGAATATACAAATTGATTCGGCAAACTAGCCCAAAAAGACTTAGCTAGGTTATGTTAATAGCCAACTGTAAGTTAGGAAAAGGATCCTTCATGATTATGCAAAACAAGCCACCATGCACAAAAAAATAGAACAAGGCTTTCAAGACTAGTAATGCTACCACATACAAGAGCATTTGTCAAGCTAGGCAAAAGGAACCATGCTTCAAGACCTTAAGACATTTAGTAGCTTCCCAAGCACAGACAATATCCATTATCTAATTTTATATTCCCAATTGTATTTGTGCTGAAGTACATATTTAGGAAAAACCAAAACATGCACATTTCTGCTGGTTAGAACAGAACTTATAGCCAAACAGCAATCAAAATGAAAGCAAATTAAAATTATTAGTGCATGCCAAGAATCACAGTCAACACAGAATGAAACTCCCCATCCCCTTTGTCTTATATCTGGGCTACAAGTGTGTGCTTCTGCATGAGGGAAATAAAAAGGAGGTACAGCAGGCATTGAATTCTCCTCATTTTGGATGAACCATCATATAACAAAGTGTAGATACACGCACAGGAGAGCAAGGAAATAGATTCTCTCATGAGTTAGGTGAAGTAAAGAGTCATCCAGGAAAAAAGGGTTTCACAGAGGTTTGTTTTAATTTTTTAAAAAATTTATTATGATATTACAAGACATGCATGTATTTATTCAAATCAGTTAAATTTTGTCAATGGACAGTCAGTTTTGCAAAATGGTTGGTTATCAGCATGGAAGCTTATCCACTGTTTAGGAGCAGTCTCAACACTAGTATTTGAGTAGGAAACTGCACATTACTGCATTTTATTTAGATAGTTGGCCAAAAATTGAAAAGTTACATGTTGATAATTAAACATGTCATGAATACCAAAATATCACATGCAGATAAACTAAGAATAGCTATTTTTGAAAATAGCTGTGTAATTAACCACATTGCTAATTGGAAATTTTTCATGTTGAACCTTATATGCCAAGATAGAGATGTGCAAAATATAAATATTGTAAAATTTCCTATTCTCTTAGTGAGAAATCAAAAACAGAAACAAACTATGATGAAGAGGATGATCTTATAAATAACAGACACCATAGAAAACCAATCAGGAGACAGTAGGAAGTGATGCCACTTTTACTGCTTACTTTTAAAGAAACCAATCAGGAATTTTACACCGTTTAGTCAATCCGAGATGTGCTTGAACTGTTCATTTATACTTGTTTTGACAAATTTTATACATTTTATAAAACTTGTGCAAACATACACATGTTTGGAATGATCTTAGAATTAATCAGGAGTAGTGAACCTTTAGATGGGTCACTCAACTCAGTCTACATTTATGCATTGAAAGCTCTTTAGATACACTGGTAGTGTCCCTACCGCCGAGCCAGGAGATCCAGGTTCAAGCCCTACCTGCTCATAACACATCCGAACAGGTTGATTGGAAATACCTATAAACAACAGACTGATTGGCACTTGTAGCATTATAGTAGTAGTACTACCTCTGGGCTAGAAGGCCTGGGTTCAAGTCACACCTACTCCAGACATGTGTCAGAATCTGCCTGAACAGGTTGATTAAAAATATCTTTCATTATAAATTCACCTAGACCTTAAAATGAAACGAAACCCCAAAATCTTACACTGTGCTATAAGCTCAACTATCTATCAGAATCTTTGTCCTCTACGGAACCTTTGGGGTTTCATCTTGTACGCCCACGTGATTTCCCCAACAGTGGGAGCTTACATGCTACTTTCCCATAATCAACTGTTGCATCACAAAGAACAAACTAAATACCAGAGCTTAGGCAGAATGATGCTAGCTTTGTTACTTCTTTCCTTCCCTTGGAGAACTGAATGGAACACTGGAGGGATTTACAGGTTGACTAACAACCTGGCAGTCATGATATGATCAAAATATGGCCTATCATGACCCAGAGCAAACTTGAACCCAAAGCTTGCAGAGAATACTTCCAAATTACCAGTTAAGCATCAAAAACATTGAAATATCTTTTTAAAAACTGCAATTAGTAAAAATGTTTGGTATACAAAAATTATACAGAGAAAAGAATATTTTCTACACAGGGTTCAGAAGATAGAATCTACTTAGTACTTATGTGAACAAGATTGATAGGTACACATAGATATCAGAATGTGCAGATCCTTGAGGGGATACTTGAGGGGAGGGTTTAAACTAGTGTGGTGGGGGGTGGGAACCAGAGGAGTAGGGTATTAGATGCAGAAATTGAGGGAGAGGTAGAAACCAAGGCAAACATTATTAAGCACAAGAACAGGCAGGGAAATGCTGCTGAAAAGAGCGGGGGAGGTGATCTGAAATGCATGCGTTTCAATACAAGAAGCATAACAGGCAAGGGAGCCTTAGAGACAACAAGGTGCAGGGCTGGATGAACACAGCAGGCCAAGCAGCATCATAGGAGCAGAGAGGCTGACGTTTCGGGCCTAGACCCTTCATCAGAAAAGGGGGAGGGGAAGGGGGTTTTGAAATAAATAGGGAGCGAGTGGGAGGCGGATAGAAGAGGGATAGAGGAGAGGATAGGTGGAGAGGAAACAAACAGGTCGAAGAGGCGGGGGCTTTGGTTAGTACTTGGCACTATGACAATTATTGTGATTACAGAGACTTGGCTGAAAGAGGGACAGGACTGGCAGCTGAATGTCCCAGGATTTAGATGTTTCAGGTGCGATAGAAAGGGAGGTAAAAAGAGGTAGGGGAGTTACATTACGGTAAAAGGAGTATCTTACAGCTGTACAGAGGGAAGATATGTAGAACAGTACAGGCCCTTTGGCCCATGATGTTGTGCTAAACTTTTACCCTAAACCTAAGGTCTATCTAACCTCCATCCCTACCTTATATTATCATCCATATGCCTATCTAATTGCTGCTTTTAAGCCCCTAATGAGGCCGACTCCACTACCCTCTCCGGCAATGCATTTCACACCCCTACCACTGACGTCTCTCCTATATCCACCTCCACTCACTTTAAAACTATGACCCCTCGTAATAGCTATGTCCACGCTGGCTGTCCACTCTATCTCTCCCCCTGGTCATTTTGTACACCTCTATCAAGTCACCTCTCATCCTTCATTCGAAAGAGAAAAGCCCTAGCTCTCTCAACCTTTCCTCATAAGGCCTTCCCTCCATTCCAGGCAACATCCTGGTAAATCTCCTCTGCATCTTTTCCAACGCTTCCACATCTTTCCTGTGATGAGGCGACCAAAACTGGACACAATACTCCAGATATGGCCAAATCAGGGTTTTGTATAGCTGGAGCACAACTTCACGGCTCTTGAACTCAATCCCTCTGTTAATGAAAGCTAACACACCATACGCCTTCTTAACAACTCTATCCACCTGGGTGGCAGCTTTCAGGGAACTGTGAACATGAACCCCAAGATCTCTCTGCTCCTCCACACTGCCAAGAATCTTTCCGTTAACCCTGTATTCTGCTTTCAAGTTTGATCTTCCAAAATGAATCACCTCTCACTTTTCAGGGTTAAACTCCATCTGCCACTTCTCAGCCCAGCTCTGCATCCTATCAATGTCCCTTTGTAACTTAGAACAGCCCTCCGCACTATCTACAACTCGACCCACCTTCGTATCATCCGTGAACTTGCTAATCCACCCATCCACTCCTACATCTAAATCATTTACAAAAATCACAAATAGAAGAGGACCCAGAACAGATCCTTGTGGTATACCACTTGTAACTGAGCACCATGTTGAATGTTTTCCATCCACTACCACCCTTTGTCTTCTAAGGTCAGCCAATTCGGAATCCAATCTGCCACGTTTCCCCCTATCCCATGCCTCCTTACTTTCTGCATGAGCCTACCATGGGGAACTTTATATGCCAGAGGACATGTGCAGCGAGGCAATATGGGTAGAACTCAGGAATAGGAAAGGTGAAATCACAATGCAGGGGCTATATTACAGGCCTCCCAACTGTCAGCGGGAGATACAGAATATGTAGAGATTTTGGGCAGATGTAAAAACAGCACGGATGTTGTGATTTTCACTTCCCCTGTATTGCATGGGACTCACTAAGTACTAGGGGCTTGGATGGGGGAGAATTTATAAGGACCATTCAGGATTCTTGACACAATACGTAAAACAATTCAACCAGGGAAGGGGTTATACTGGACCTAGTTTTGGGAAATGAACCCTGCCAGATGAGTGAAGTTTCAGTGAGGGAGCATTTCAGAAGTAGTGACCATTATACCGTGAGTTTTAAGATACACATGGACAGAGATAACAGCAGTCCTCAGATGAAGGTGTTAAATTGGGGTAAGGAGAACTACGATAATATTAGGCAGGAACTGGAGAATATTGATTGGAGGCGGCCGTTTGAGGGTAAATCTACATTGGATATGTGGGAATATTTCAAACCGCAGTTAAAGAGTCCAGGAGAGGCACATTCCAGCGAGACTGAAGGATAGGTATGGCAAGTTACGTGAACCTTGGATGACCAGGGATATTATGATCTTGGTCAGAAAGAAAAAGGAAGCATATGTAAGGTTTAGGAGGATGGGAACTGATGAAGCCCTTGATGTATATAAAGGAAAGTAGGAAAGAACGCAAACAAGGAATTAGAAGGGATTAAAGGGGTCATGAAAAGTCATTAGCAAACAGGATTAAGGAGAATCCCA